AAAAAGTCGTTGACAATGATAGCAAGTGCCAACGGCAACTTTGGTAGAAGGTGGTTGCCACCGATACTTGCTACCTCCTGAGCTAGTCTTAAGTGCCTCTGCTTTTCACAGATCGCCCATACGAACACACTTGTCGCAAATAACGATAAGCTAGGCAACAAGACTTCCAAGGCTATCAAAAGTCATGGCACTGAGAATGGAAAATTATCAAACAAACTGCCGTATGTTTCAGCTCGCATTTTTTCCAGATCTGTAGTAATGAAAAAGTGACAAACCAGTGCGGGAGGTGGATTTTCAAATTTGCCATCCAAAACCATCTCGTCGATGAATTCGAAAAATATTGCTTTTGAAAGAGCATCTTTCGCTAGGCTCGCATAGATGGTGTTGTAAAGTAGATCGAAGCGGCCGGTTGTAATGCAAGCTTTTACTAGCAACTGAATATGCTTCTGAAAAATTATAAAACGCATTTATTGTTTTGCAAACTAACGAAAATTGCTCATGCAATGTAACTAAAAATCAAAAGAAAAACGAAGACCAGAAGGATAAAACAGTTTAACATAGCATAGCTGCAGACACAACGAAAAAGGCAACATTTCGTTCTGATCTTTTGTATATATATTACATATGTAAGTAATATACAATATTTATACATATGTATATTATATATGTAATATACAGAAAAGACCAGAACGAAGGAATAGGCAATATAGGCAGCCGAGATTGTCATGTAATTATATATGTATATATATATGTATATATATATACACATATATATATACATATATATATATATACAATAATTTTAACTGCCTATATTGCCAACTCTTTTGTTCAGATCTTTTATATTTTGCAACATTTCCACCGATAGTTAATTCTAATCATTATTTTTGCTATTCTTAAAATGACATCAACTGCTGTTAGCCTCCACGTTAAAGAACTTTATTCTCGTACTTCGTTTAAACTGATTTAATTTAGCAATACTTAAGGTTGATTTTTTCTTTCGTTTTTATATCAACTGGATTACCTTATAATGATCAATCAGTTGTACAACTTTGCCATTTTCGAGACCCGTTGTTGTGAGGGTGAGGAGCGTCTGGACGAGATCGGGCATGCAAGCCGAAACAACATGCCTCATATTTGCTCGCCTTGACCGACAGCCAATTTTTCCCACAAATATATCCAGTGCAAAGAGAACAGCAGAAATTACTTCGCCCCTGCAAGCATGTACATTCAGTGTGAACACCGAGACTGCTAACTCGTCCAGGTCAGTATAAAACTTATTCTTAAGGTTATCAGGATCGCTTTGACTTTCAGAACTATTAAGGAACTCCAACAATTAGAGTGCAGCCATGATGAGTTTCTTCGTTTTTTGTTGCCTTGCAGGAAATTTATGCGCCCTAATACTCCACAGGACATCCGGCTGATCACACCCGCAAATACAGAACCACCAGTCACCAAAGCGGATAACAAATAGTATTCATTAGGAGATTACCCGTA